CGAACAGACCGTTGCACGCTTCTTACCTTATAACCACTTTGATATTTGAACCATTCATTGATTTTAATATTCCAAGAAGTCCCGGATCTCAGTAGTGCAACTGATCTCTCTACAGAATGGAATCATGCACCGCAAGCTTGGTAAGTAGCAACCTGGGTTTTTGGCTCACCGACAAGTAAAAAGTTTTTTTCCAAGCCTGCTTCATAATTTTTCAGCACGTTTTAAATGCAAAACAGACTGCCAGCACAAGTCTACACGAGGAGATATTTCGCTAGTACCACTAAAAAAGCTGGAGAAAAGACTAGGCACGCTGGATTTGTAACCGGGGTCTGCGTCAGGGGGGAATCGGACCCCCGTCGATTGCTTGGAAGGGAGCCATGCTGACCATTACACCACTGACGCCTGCGGTCCACTAGATCCTTTCATTGCCCGGATTTTAAAATTTTGTACAAGGAAATCGGTATTTTGTAAAGGAAAGTCTTCTTCCTATATGTATCAAGAATATCAAGACCAGCCGGACTATTAGTACTACTAGTCCTTTGTTAGTGGTGTTATCGGGATGCTCCCAATCACTGGGCAAAATTATATCAGGCCTTTCGATCCTCAGCTGCATGTCTCCAGACAGCACCCACCGCTTGTTCGTTGCATGCGAGCCGCCGGAATGGTCCTTTTATTTCTCGCTGATACCACTCACTAGTACGTAACGTCCAACACTCTTCAGCAAGGTGAGCAACTTGTCCTGCCTGTAAGACTTTACTTTCTCCCATGACCACAGTGATATTCTGCACGCCACCCATCCGACGGTGATCTCACTGTTTTTATGGCTCAACCACATGTTTTTTATGTGGAATATGTCTTTTTTTTTTCAAAAAGCCAAAATTAAATTTTAAAGTGCTATTGCTATAAAGGAGTAGTAACACATACCAGACAAAGCTTTCCTGTACAGCTTGTCTGCGCGTTTTTGAAAAGACGATCCCATGACTGTTTTTTCAAAAGTTGCCGAAATGTTGGCTTTTTTTGCACCAAAAATGATTTTGGGTGCTGCTTTGCTTCTTTTTCGTTGTATTTTGCGGGTTTTTTTTTAGTACATTATGGCCATTCATGTAAGACTAGGCATTCAAAATGTCTTT